GAATCAATAATAAAGCCATCTCCAAAGCTTCAGGAATGGCTCTTACTAAGAAAACTATAGCAAAAGCATCCTCACGACTTTAGGAATGCATTTTTACTAAGAAAACTATAGTAAAAGTGTCTCTGTAGCTTTAGAAATGCCTTTTTTACTAAGAAAAGCTTAGTTAAAAGCGTCTCCGCGGCTTTAGAAATGTCTTTTTTACTAAGAAAATATAGTAAAAAATGTTTCTGCAGCTTCAGAAAAGTTTTTATTAAGAAACCTAGTAAAAAAATGCGTTCACAGCTTCAGAAACGTTTTTTACTAATAAAATTGTTATGAAGCTGCAATAGCAGTTATTACTAAGTTTTCTTAGTAAAACCGAAGCTGCAATGGCAGTTATTACTAAGTTTTCTTAGTAAAACTGAAACCGCAGAATTATTTTATTAAGTTTAATAGTAAAAATTCACCTATTACTAAACTTACTTTGAAAAAGCTATCTTTGAAGTTTTTTAGTATAATTACTAATAATTTTCTTAATTAAACTTTAAAATAACTTTATTTTAATATATCATTGTAAAAATTAAAAAAAAATTTATATTTGATTTGATTTGATTTGACAAATATTTGGTTCAATTTGATTTGATTTGATCAAATTCAAATCTATTCAAATTGATTAGATCAAATATTTGAGTTCAATTCTATTTAATTATTCAATTTGATTTGATTTGATTCGATTTTGAGAAACTCTAGCTGCAACTACTTCTCCTGTTCAATAGATATTATAAATAGCGACGCTTACAAAACATTATTATCAAATTGCTATCCAAGTTTATCACTTTTTGAAAACTTAGGAGTCTAACGAATTTTTGCTACTTAACGCTTAACCTTGACCATAATCTTATTTTTAAACAAAAGTTAGCTGAATTAAGATTCACTGCTGAAGTCTAGTGAATACCAAGTTCTATTATTGAAAACACTTGACATTTCTATAGGAGAAGAAATCTTAAGTAGAGAGTAATGTGAACGGAAAAAATGTGACAAGATTTATGTAATGCAGATGATCAACAAATCTGACAAATCTGATATGTATGATATTTCTGACATTTCTGATATAATCGATAAATCTGATAAACCTAATATGTCTGATATTTCTGATATTTCTAACATGTCTGATATATATGATAAATTTGACATGATTGACAAATAGGATATATTAGACAGATTCAACATATATGATATATCAGACATATTTAATATATATAATATACTGTATTATTCTGAATATAAGCACCTTAATTTTGCTATAGTAGTGCTTATTTTCGGGTATTTTTTATAAATTATTTGTTCGCAGCATATTAAAGACAATAATACTCTGTAATATATCATAAATAGCCATTTTTTAGTATAACATATATAATGTGATAAACTTTTACATTAACTTTAAAAAAATGTTGTGAAACTGAATTTAAATGTATTGTTTATTTAACGTGATTATTACTAAGCAAAGCCGCAGTTCCTATACACTTAAAAAAAAAAGTAATTAATTATACTATAGAGAATAGAAGAAATGCAGTGGCAAGACATTATAACATTAATAATAGTATGATTACTCAATGGATTAAGGCAAGCGAAAAATGGGTTGAAAAGAATCAAACTATTAAAAAAGTTTGTTTTTGGCGAAAAGAATTTTATCCTAAAGCAGAAAAAAGCTTTATAATTGGATTATAAAGCAACAAAAAATTGGGTTAGGTGTTTCTTATGCAATTTTACGAGTAAAGATAATAGAGATTCTAAACGAGCTATAAATGATAAGGCTTTATAATAATTCAGCAGATTTTAAATTATCTTCTCGCTAGATATTTGCATTTATGAAAGATTTAAATTATCTTGGTGACGTCATACCAAAATTGCAAAAGCTTCCTGCATAAACCAATGAATTATTAAAAAATTTCCAATAATTTATTATCCAGCTTAGAACTGAAAAATCTTTTGAAATGTCTAATATTTTCAATATAGATGAAATTCCTATTTGGTTTGATATAGCAGGAAATTTTACTATCAATCAAATAGGTGAAAAAACAGTACAAATTCGTAGTACTGGAAATGAGAAAGATCAATTCACAGTAGTTTTAACATGTGCTGCAGGTAAAATACCAAAATACCATCAATATTTTATTGTAGTAGATGTTATTTATTAATTTATTTTAATATTAATTTATATAGATGAAACAAAATTTCCTTTAATTTGTATTTTTAAAGGAAAACGATTATCACGTGATGAACAAATTCCATCTGATATTTTTGTTTGGTTTCAACAATCTGGGTAAATGGATACAAATTTGATGAAAAGGTATATTGATTATATTAAGGATCTAACTAATAATGCTTCAAAAATGATTGTATATGATTCTTTCAAAAACATTTGAAAGAGACTGTTAAATAAAAATTTCGGGATAATGGTTTTGACTTGGCAGTTATTTCTGGTGATCTAATCAGCTTATGCTAACCACTTGATATTACAATTAATAAGCTATTTAAGGATCATTTGTAAAAAAAGTGGCATTTATGGATGGTAGATATGATAGCTAGAATGACTGTAGCGAAAAATCTTTATTGCACTAGAATATCTGATGTTTGTAGGTAAGTTAAGCAGGCTTGGGAAAAAATACCAGATGACATAGTTATACAATTTTTTAAAACTTGTAAGATTTAAACCTCTTTAGATAGATCAGATGATGAAAGTAGTAAAGAAGAAATTGACAATGATGATGATACCTTTAGTGATGAAAAAGCGGATGATGTTAGTGATAAAGAAGTAGATGATGATGAGGTTTATGATGATAAGATTAATAATAATGAGATCGATTATGAAGAATAGTATTGGGTCGAGTAGTTAGTACCTAATTATAAAATTCCTTAGTTATGATCATAAAGATCGTAAAGTGATTTTTGTTGTATTTCGTTAAATTTCATTATTTTACATTGCATTTTATGGTTTATAATAAAAAATGCGATTAAAACGTAACATAACTTTAATAACAACGTTAATTTAATATTTGTATTTTTATTTATTCATTAAATTACATAGTTTTAAAAAAAATTTAAAAAATTTAAAATTTGCTTATTTTCAGAATAAAACTATTTTTAGTAGTGCTTATTTTCAGGTATTGCTTATATTCAGAATGGTACAATATTAGACATATTAGTTATATATCTTTCTATATATTATATTTTATATAAATAAATAGCTTTTTAGATCATATAAAAGTAGAATTTGACAAATCAGTTTTCTAGTGATTTTAAGAAGCAAACAGGTCTATCATATTATACTTTAGTTTTAGTATTTTGTTTCTTTATTTTCTTTTCTTTTCTCTTATCATCTTTTTTATTTTCTTTATTTTTATTCTTTTATCTTATTAATAAATATCTTACTTTAAAATATAATTACTTAATATATTGTGATTTATTATTTGTGAAATACTTGTATAAACTTTTCTATCTGAATTTAGTCGTAAAAGTACATTTGTAAAGCGTTAAGATTACTATACAATTAAAAGAAATAATACTCTAACACCTCATTTAACAGTTATAGTTCACAAAAATTACACATTAGCAGTATTATTTTCTTTATTATTATTATATTTATTATTCTTCTTATGTTTTTCTTATATATTTTTTTTATATTATTATGTCTTATATTGTATTTACATATTTAATTAGTTGATAATATAGTAATTGTATAAATAGAATAACTTTTTGCTTAAATTATAAATTAACTTATTTGTGAGTTTTAAATAATAAATAAAGAAATTAATTTAAAGATATAGTTATCTTTTTTTTACTTGTCGCTCATATAGGATTTGATTGTGAAGCACTATACTAAACTTGCTTTTGAATTCATTACTAAGAATAATTAAATTTTCTAAAATTCCTAAGTTTTTAAATTCAAATTTTTCATGAGAAATTCTATATGTCTGTATAATATGAAAAATATCCAATAAGTTAAATAAATTATTTTTAAAAGGTTATAATATTTTTAAAATAATATGAAATGTGATTTTATTAATAATAGAAATATGCATTAGATACATTATAATTAGATAAATTTGATAAGCTAAATTTCATTTTTTTATGAACATTAAATATTAAAATATAATTTGATTTTATTTTTAGAGTTTATAATGATTTCAAGTTTATTATTAAGTTTTATTTATTCTTTTAGTTTTTATTATTTATTCAATTTTAAATTTTTTTTTTATAAATAATTTTATATTAATCAAATAAGAGATAAATTATAAGTATTAATTTAAATTTCTAAAAGAAGAATCTAATTTCTTTTAATTATTTAGATTTGAATTTAAATTTATTCTTATTATAATTGAATACTTAAATCTGATCTGTACACGTGTAATAACATCTACCAATAAAACGAACTTGAAATTTAGTGTTACTATATACAATTTAAATTGTTTACGATTAGTAAGAATAATGATACCAAATTAGTATAAATTATTTTAACTATTGTTCTATAGTAAAAATAAATCTCATTGAAGGAGTTTGATTATAACAATAATAAGAGAGTGATTATTTAAGGTTGACATAGGTTGATTACAAATATCAAAGAAACATTTCATTACAAAGCTTAAACTAAAATGACGAATAGATGTATTCCGACATTTCATACCAAAATTTCTTTGGGTAAGTTTATTTATGGGAAATAAGATTTTTTACATCAAAAAAAAATATTTTTTAATGTTCATTTATAAATGGTTTACACCATGCATATTTGTAACACGAAATCCTTTTATTAAATGAGAAATTTCTTTAAAGACAAAAAGAACTCTTTAAATATTAATATTATTTCTAACCTTCGTGTTACAGTGGTGTAATCACTCTTAAACTATTGTTGTACTTAAACAAAATGTGCTAAATCTTGAGGAACCATTACGACATAAAAAAATCTATTATAAATGTGGAACCTCTGATCAAAAAAAAAAAGTTCGCCTTTTTAAACCTTTACAATGCAAGAATATACAAAAGTTTTCATTGAAAATAAATGTTTTTCCAATAAAAATAAAAATTACGAAAAGAATATCTCAAATATTTCATCATCCCGAGATTCAGTCTATAAAGGTAGCATAAATGAAAATAAACGTCAATCTTCAAATATTATTCTGGTTAATCCAGAAAACAAACCATCTTCGTTGGCTTCTTCCATCTCAGAAAAACATGAAAATTTTATCTTGAAACAATCGAGACTAAATCACGAATATAATTTTGAACGGTCATCTAATAAACCACTTATATATCATAAAAATATATTTTCTAGAATAAAATTGGTGATTAACCGATTTTCTATAGGAAGAGGAAGAAGTCGTCATAGCGAAGCTTATCATCAAGATGGAAAAACAAATCCTTTTGAATGAAGATTTTCATTATATGTATTCAAATATGTATTAAATAAGAATTTTATTCTATTGTATTATTTTATTCTATTTGCACTCGTGATTTACATTTAATGTTGATTATGATGTAAGCAGATCTTCATATCATATCTTAATCACGTTGGGAAAACATCTTACTTTTCTTGTAATTCACATGAACAAAACAAACTTAAATCTATTTCAATCATTTCATTCATCATATGTAAGTCAGATGATTTTTTAATATATTTCATATAAAAAAAAAATAAAAAAAATAGGCAGGAACTATTTTCATCTTTACAAACTTAATTTAATTAATAATCAAGTTATTTAGTATGGGTGCCATAAATTCAAAATCAAGATATAAAAATAAAAAATTAATTGATAAAATTTGTGTATCATCGGAAAGAAGAGGTTCCGCGGAAAGTTTTGAACAATGTAACGAGATAATTACTTTTGGAAATCGAAAATATTTAAATGGTGACAATGTTCGATACATTTTTCCAATTGACCACGATGAATTAAAAAGGTTAGAATTAACGCATACCTGGAATAAAGCCCTATGGAACGAACAACCATTTCCTTTATCTGCAGGTGAAGTTTTTAACCGAAATGCTAAAGTTTTGGATATTGGGTAATTATTATATTACGCGCATACATACAAATACGTATATATATATATTTCTTACAATTTATTAACAATTTTGATTTATTTTATTTCTGATTAAGATGTGGAAACGGAATTTGGTGGTAAATTTTCCCATATATAATTATATATATCTTCAACAAGTTAACCCTCATTTTATTTTGAAGAAAAAAAAATTATTAATAAAATTTTTTATACTTTTATATAAAGTCTGGATATGGCGCAAAAATATCCGAATTGTCATTTCACAGGCTTGGATGTTTATTTTCCGCCTAACATTGACATAAAAGGGGCAAATGTTAAATTTACATTAGGCAATATCTTAAATGGACTTCCTTACGAAGACAATTCATTTGATTTAGTTTTTATGAGAAGTATGAAAGGTTGTTTCACCCAAGAGGATTATAACTCATGCTTACAAGAAATAATACGTGTATCTTGCAGATGGATATTAATACTTGACTCTGATATCGTATTAATCGATGGAGGTCCTTTAGCGACCCATTTAAGAGATCAAGGTTAGTAGTAACGATACTATAAAAATATTTTCCTTCCACGTTTTATAATATGATTTATACATTCTTTTAATATTATAGTTCTCGATGAACTTTTGACAAAATTTGACATAAATATGATGCCAAGCTCAATTATTCGAAATTTTTTAGAAAGTAGTGATGAGTTATCCGATATCTCTTTTGAAGATGAACAATGTCCAATTGGAAAGTGGGGAAGTGACATAGGAATGATTTATTGGCAAATTCTGAAATGGTCAACAAAAAATATATATCATTCAGTTTCATCATTAGGATACTCTGAAGAGGAATATAATTTAATGATCGATGAGGCATTTGATGAATTAAATCAATACCACGCATATAATATGGGGTTTAGAATTTGCGCCAAAAAAAAGTTGCTTGAAAAAAGATTGAGTTCAAAATATTTATTGTTTTAAGATCTATACGAGAATAATATTTAATTTTAATTGTGTATTTATTGTATATTTAAATATTTTTAATAACATCATGTATTGTAAAAATATAATAAAACATATTGGTAATTATAATCATCATAAATTCCCTAAAAAGAATATCACGCACTAAATATCATTTATGGGCCGTTGATATAGGAAAAAAATCAAATGTTTTCATCTTAAAAGTTTACTAAACGATACTTCCTGTTTGAAAGACAAAGGTAGGAGCATTACGCGACAAGTTTTCCTAGAGGAGTGGAATCCTATAAAAGAATTATAGTCAAAACACCGGTTCAATTGACGAGATGAACTTCCCGTACACAATTAAGATTTTTATCATCAATGTCCTATCAGCTAATTAAAAATCATAGCCATTTTGTAATTTGACAATTAGAATTCTTCCTACATTCGTAGTTGTCTACATTTCTATAGAAAGAAAATATTTAAACTGTGTTTCATGTCATATATACATAATTTAAAGATAAAAATATATTACTGCAAGTAAAAATTCGCAAATAAAATAATTACATTACTTTAAATTCTACTTAAAAGGTATTCCAATGTTCTGAATCGAATTGATGATGCTCTTACGAAGCTTTCATCTTATTTTCCATTTGAGTGAACCTTTTTTGCTAATATGTAGAGGAAAGTTTTATGAGGCGTATTTTTTATCCCGGAAACATAAGTGTCAAAAAACACTCGGAAAAGTGACGAGATATAAAGTATCTAAAATAATGAGTTGCAAATAAGATCGACAAGGTGGGAAAATACTTTTGCCATTTTGGTCACAATAATACTAAAATCAAAAAATTAGGTTTAATATTATTCATGCATAGCATAATGCATAATGCATGTTTGTTAAATTCCAAATTAGGTTCATATTGTTTAAAGAAATTTTGAAACTTTTGATGAGCACGAAATTTAAAGATTTACCAAGTATAGGACGTTACTGCCAAAAAAATTACCTTAATTATAAAGATTACTTCTCCTTGAACCTTATTTGGATATAATCAAAGTAACAATGATTGGGATTATCGGTCACGTTCTAAACGATATTTATAGACAAATTATTGAGGATTCAAAAAAAAAAAATTAAAAAAAAATAAAGAAAAACCTTTCCAAAATGTCTTTTGATAAACTAGAAAGACCTCACGATCATGATAAGTCAAAATTCTCTCGGTTCCGAAAATTGTTTTCACAATCTTCCTACATACAAATAAAATTAATGGAACCTACGTTATATTTTAAAGGGAATCCCGAAGAATCTTTAGGTTGCTTTATGAGAGGTGAATTAATAATGAATTTGAATAAACCTACTAAAATCAAGCAGATTGAAATGAAATTCTCTGGACGTATGAAAACATATAAACCTCAATGTAAAACTCTTGGTAATTTATTTTACTTTGATATTTATCATAATTTCTGTGAATGAAATCCCTCTTATATACAAATAAAAAAATTTTCTTTTACCCAAAAGGTTCTCGTTCGAATCACAATGATAATTGTAAAGAATGTGAATTAATAACCTTCCATTGGATCTTCCTTTCGCCACCTACAAAAATCACTCCAATCCCACCATCTACAATTTCTTCAATTAAGAAATACCATTTGTTACCAGCAGGAATTTATACTTTCCCTTTTGAATTATTTCTTCCTGGTACATTACCTGAAACTATTCTTGGAAACGTTTCCTATAAGCTACGTGCCAAAGTCATTAGAACAGGATTATCTTCTAATTTTCGAACATTGCAACATATGACAATCGTCCGTATATTATCCAATTCTCAGGGAATAACAAACTCAAGAAATTGGCAAAACTCGATGAACCATGAGATCGCTATATCGAATAAAGCTTATTCGACAGGAGATTCAATCAATATTGACTTGGAAATGATTCCACAAGCAAAGGTAGTGCATATACTTGGACTAAGAATCGAATTGAGTGAAAAATCCATTTATAAATCACGTGGACAACAAAATGTAAAGTCAAAGGTATTGACAACTTATCATACGAATGGTTTTTTTGGAGGGAATGAAGAAGATGATGAATTTTTGCCGAACGGTATTCATTATCACAAGAATTTTGTTTTTCCCCTTCCTAAATGCTCGAATCATATACATTCATCTTGGTCTTGGAAATCAATAACCATATCACATAATTTAAAATTTTATATTAATGTTAAATCAGCCGTAATTTCAGAAAAGGCAGGAATTACGAACAAATTCAAGAAAGAAATTATTGAAATCGATATACCAATCATCCTTTTATTATGCAAATGTGCCGAAAATTCACCGCGATATGACAGTTTTTCTAATCTTGGTCAACTTTACATGCATGATTTACCACCTAGTTACGAAGCATCTCAAAGTTATAATAATACATAAATGTTAAAATTCTTTAAAAGAATAAAATAACATTTTAAAAAACGTTTTTCGAATGCTTCGGGATATTACACCACCTACAGTATATTTGTATATTTGTTTATTATTTCTTTTTTTTTTTCACGACTGTTTATGGTTATAACTGGAATATCAACCATTAATCGATAACTTAGTTGGAAAAAATATATAATTATCCTATTTTATAATTAACTATGACTATAAAAAACATGTATCAGGCATATTAAAATTACATTAAAACAAATTCATTATAGATATAACCAATATTACAAAAAATTGCAAAAAATTTTATTGTGCATACATACAGTATATTTTTGTGCAATTTAATCATGTGTTTTAAATATTATAAATATTATTATTGTATTATCATCGTGTAGATTTCCAATCAAATAAATCAATCTTATCGGGAGCATTTTCAAGAATCATTAATAGCATATTAAGAGGATCTATTACATTTCGAATTTTAGTTTTGGTTAGTTTATGTTGAAAGAAAAATTCGTTCTACACGCATGCGCATTAGATAAAGGAATATTAATAAGTTTAACAAGTAATGAAATATTTGGAAACTCATTACAAAAATAACAAAAATAAGGATTTGTAGAAAAATAAATTCCATCTATACTACTAAAATCTTGAATACTTCTCATCATTTCTTTTACTAAACCCATTCTTGTTTTTTAAATTAATTTTGCCATTTTCTACTTTTTATTATTATCATAAAATTCAGCCAATATTTCAATTTTGGTATTTCCAATCACATTTCCTTACGAGATAATATCTTGGCTCAAAATTTTTTCATAAACCTGTATTTGGAAAACGAGACTTTAAACTTTGAATTATTGATGTGCCGAATTCAAATATAATGTGTAGTAATTGCTGTTGCATCTAAATTAAATTGAATATTAGAAATTGATATCTGAACTTGTAATAAATTAATTAATTTAGCAAAGAAATTTTTGTAATTAATACAAAACTTGAATCTAAATTTTTAATAATCCTTTAGCCTCATCTTGATCATACTTATTTTCAACAGTCATAAAATCATAATTCAAAGAATCATTAATAGAATCAAGAATTTAATATAATTATAAATAACATTTGATCATTAAGTATTAATAATATTAAGTATATTTAATTGCAATTTACTATTAGTTCTTGAATTTTAACATCTGTTATATGATTTATTAAAATAACTATATAAAGATTTACATATGATTTTATTTATATTCTTAGCTGTTACTTAGCCTAAAATTTGTAAACAATATGTAATATAATGCATAGATATTATAAACAGTTTTAGTTTTTAATCTATAAGCAGCGATTTGAAAGATTTGAAGCATCTTTGAAGGTTTAAAAGCATAATTTACTAATAAATCATTTGGATTGGAAGATTGTAATCAAATTTTTTACTATTAGAAGCATAAAATGCATATCACTTAGAGCTCCAAATCAACTGGTCAGTTAGACAAAATTTCAGGTCGGATCAAGCTTATGACCTGATCTGATAAAATTCAGGTCAACCAATCAAATTAAACGAAATAAAATATTTAAAAAAATTTTTTTTTTGTCTATTTTATATTCTAATAAAGTTGTTTGTATAATTACTTTGTAATTTATTATAATCAAAAAGTTAAATTTTAAATTATAA